CTATCCACGTCGCATACGGTTTTACATTTTAGAGCCGGGAGGTTGAGGCAAACGAGCTTGATGTGCAGCAGCAGCCCCGCGACCTGCGGCGGGCATACTTTACTCTCATTGGCGCCATTGTCAACGCTGGCCTGGCACACGTGTTCATTGCCGACCAGAAACAGGGGCGCCCTCGAGGATGTCTTCATGACCCTCATCCAGGCATGTGTTGCGTCTGCGGGTGTCGATGTGTGTGTGTGTGTTGTGTGTGTGTGTGTTTGTGTGTGTGTGTGTGTTTTCGGGCATGGTTCGTGTGCACGCATGTGCACACGTGGTGCCCCCCCCCCCTTTTCTGCGCGTTGTGGATGTGTGGTGGCATGTGATTAGCGGATGAGAAGTGAGCGAGGCGTGCGGCGTTCTTTGGTCGTCGGCGCACCTGCTTTGCTGCTTCTCATACTGCCAACCCGTGTTTGCGATTGCCAGGGTGCGAGTGCGTCCCCAGATGACCCCAAGGCGATCAAGTCGTGCTTTGGGTCCTTGCGGGAGCTGACACGCCAGTGGTTCTCGGAGGATGGCACGTGCTCTGTGCCCGAGTTTGAGGCGTTTGCGCGCCAGCACCTCGTGCAGGCCTGCTTCACAACCATTCTCCAGCCCTCCTTTGATGTCAACGAACTGCAGGTGCGTACGTGTGTATGCTTGTGCTTGTGTGTGTGTGTGTGCTTGTACTTGTGTGTGTGCTTGTGTGTGTATGTTTGTGTGTGAGCTTGTGTGTGTGTGTGTGTGTGTTTGTGCTTGTGTGAACTGTCCTGTTCGCTTGTGTGTATTATGCTGTATGTGCGTGCTCGTTTATGGTTTTCGAAATTGGTCAACTCATCCTGCTTCAACTCATCATCATCGTCATCACCACCACCACCATCACCACCGCTACCACCATCATCGTCTCCCCCTTGCCTTTTCTCACTGTCAGTACTATGGTGCACTGGGCGAGATTGCGTTGGTGCTGCTGCTGCTCGCCCATGCATACGGCTCTGAGTTTCTCGAGTACATCCGCAGCGAATATCTGCACCAGCTCCTCTCCCCAGACCTTGCACAGGAGTTTGTCGCACACATTGACCAGGTGCGCCAGGTGGTTTGTGTGTGTATGTGTGTGTTGGAAGTAGTTGCGCCTCCTCGGTCATCTTGTTTGCGCGCTAGTTTCTGCGTGATGTCTGTGCGCCCGCCGACATGTCATGCCTTCGTCCTCACCTGTCCTGTCCTGCGCTGCCTGGCCATGCATCATGTGCAGAGTGCTGCGGTGTCGCTGAAGGCTGGCAAGAAGCGGCTGAGCGCGTTTCTCAAGCACTTCCTCCTTCGTATGCGGTCCTCCTCGGGCTCGCCGCCAACGGCAGCCTGAAGTCACTTGCGCTGCCACTCTTGCTCTGGACATGGACTAGCTTTCGTTCTCCATTGTACAAACTACGAGCTTCTCATCTCATCTGTCCACCACACACACACACACGCGCGCGCACACACACACACGCACGCACACACACACACACACACACACACGCGCACACACTAACTTGCTTGCTAACTTAATTGTACTTGACCAGCCAAGTAAACGGTGCTGATACATGCGTGCATTGTGTTTGTTGTGTGTTTGTGCGTGTGTGTGTGTGTGAAGCTAGAAACAAAGAGGAAGAAAGCAACAGCGCATCACAACAAACACGTCATCGCGAACCAAATGCGTTTAGCTCTTGCTCGATCGGGCCAATCACCTGCCCGCATGAGAATTTTTATTTTTGCCACAAACGAGAGAAAGGAGAAACAAACGCGAGACAACAACAACAAGAGCAACCAGCCAGCGACCAACCAAACAAAAACAGAGCAGCAGCAGCACCAGCAGCAGCACCTCCTCCTTTGTATCATCATCGTGCTGTTGCGCCCGCCCCACACGCTTGGTAGCTTTGGTGGACACGACACAAATCCTCACACACACACACACACACACACACACACACACACACACACACACACATACACACACACACACACACAAGATGAGTGAAGTCAAGTCGAAGATCAAGCGTGTGAGTGCGCTGAAACAACGGGGTAAAGTCTTGCGCGACACGAACCCGCTGCTGGCCGTTTTCCAATGGGGCTGCAACCACATGGTAAGCCACGCCTTGGTTCCCATTGTGCGGTGGCTGTTGGTGTAGTGTGGTTGTCATTGGTTGTATTGTGTTTGCGTGAATGTCGTCGGGTTGTTTGCTCTCTCGCATGTGTGTGTTGTGGGGACAGCGGTGTGTGGTCGTGCGAAACAGATGGGCAGCCGGCCGTTTGTGCCATTTGCTGTAGTGTACAGTAATCGTGGAGGGACTTACGGTTGCCGTCTGTCTTTTTCGGACAGATGAACGAGGCAGAGCTGGTGAGCGACCAGCCGCTGATTCTGGACAGGGACTTCAAGGCGTTTTCAAAAGTCCAAGTTCACAACCAATACTACAATGAGTGCGTGTGTGAGTGTGCGTGGTGTGTGCGGCTGTGTGTGTGTGTGGTTGTGTGTGTGCGGCTGTGTTTGGACGACTGGTGTGGACATGTGTGTTTGCGTATGCTTGTGCTTGCGTGTGTATTCGTGAACACGTGCGTGTATTTGCTTCCTTTCTGTTGTTGTTGCTCGATCGGCTGACGTACTGCTTCTTGCTCCTTCATTTTCATTCTGTAGGCAAGAGCTTCCGAACAAATTCAAGGTTAAGGAGTACTGCCCAGTTGTGTTCAAGAGCTTGAGACATCGTTTTGGAGAAGATCCCGCCGACTACCTTGTACGTGGCTGAAGCCGTGCGCTTCTGCTTTGACATGTATGAATTGGGAGGCAGAGCGGCATTCGCGTGATTGATTGGCATCATTCCAACCGCACACACGCACACACACACATACACACACGCACACACACATACACACATTCACACGCACACACACACACACTCATTCACGCTGTGCTTGCCTCACGTCATGGCTCACACTGTTGACCGTTGCTGTCAACCAGACGTCGATCTGCGACGGTCAAATCTATGGCGGCAAGTCCACGGGCAAAGGCGGTGGCGACATCTACTACACACATGACCACAGGGTATGCAACACACAGATGCACGTGTACATGTGTGATGTGTTGTGTTGTGTGTGTGTGCGTGTGTGGGTGTGTGCGTCTGTGTGCGTCGTCTGAGTCATGTTTCAACACTCACGCAGCAGCCATCGTATGTGATTGCACTCGTGTCGTTTCCACAACGCAACGACAGCTGGTGATCAAGACGCTGGCAAAGGAAGAAGTGGCGTCCTTCCACCACACATTCAAGCAGTATTACTCGGTTGGTTCAAACGCTTGCGTATGTGTTGCAGTGTGGATGCGACCGCTTGTGAATACGTTGGTTGTGGCACATACGTACATGTGTGTGTGTGTGTGTGTGTGTGTGTGTGTGTGTGTGTGTGTGTGTGTGTGTGTGTGTGTGTGCATGTGGTGCGCAATCGCTTTCCGGTCGTGTGAGCTGTGGCTGTCATTCTTGTTGGTTTGAAGCTCGCATGTTCACACCCGCCATCCACCCATACCTCGTGTCACCTCACTCCACACCCTGTCCACCCGCACCCTGCTATCTCTCACCAGTACATTGTTGAGTGCGACGGGGACACGCTGCTTGCGCGGTATCTTGGCATGTACCGCATCACCGTGCACGAGAAGGAGACGTACATGGTCGTGATGAACTCCATCCGGCCCGTTGGCATCCCCACACACCGCCTGTACGACCTCAAGGGGTCGAAGGTCGACAGAAAAGCCAGCGACAAGGAACGTGCAAAGGACCTACCGTGTCTCAAGGTACGAGAGGGAAGGTGAAGGTGTTGTGGTGGCTGGCGTGGCGGGTCAGGGTTAGAGTGGTTCATGCGCCAACATACACTTGAGTGAACGCCATCATCATCATCATCATCACGTGTGTGTGTATGTGTTTGTGTGTGTGCGCGCGTGTGTGTGTGCGTGTTTGTGTTGATGTGTGTGCTTGTGCTGGTGTGTGAGAGTGTGGCTATGTGATTGTGTGTATGTGTGTGAGCGTCATAAGTCCCAACGTTCTTGAAAGTCGCTGGCGCCTACTCACCCTTCACCCCGCTGCGTTCGCGATGGCCGCACATCAAAAGGACATTGACTTTGAGGAAGCGCAGGAGCGGCTGTATCTTGGCGGCGACACCGAAACATTCAAGGAAACACTCAAGCGCGATGTGCAGTTCCTTGAGAAGCACAATCTCATGGACTACAGTCTGCTCGTGGCCATCCACGACTGCAACGAGCAGGTCGCTTGTCCTTGCGTACATGCGCGTTGAGTGTGTGTGTGGATGTGGATGTGGATGTGTGAGAGAGAGGATGAATGTGTGCGTGTGCGAGTGCGTGTGTGAGTGTGTGTGCGAGTGTGTGAGAGAGTGTGTGTGTTTGTACGCCATGCTGCGTTTCTGTATCCTCACTCATCCTCTCCGTGTCCTGCGGTGTGCTGCTCCGCCACCACCCGAAACATGCAGACGCCTGGCGAGATTGACCGGGATGTCGATGTGTATCACGTTGGTCCACACGCCAAAGACCTGAAGGCGGACCCGAAGCGCCTCTACTTTATCGGCATCATCGATGTGCTCACCGTCTACAGCACCCGCAAACGCGCAGCGCACGCGGCGAAAACAGCGAAACACGGAGCGGTCAGTCGTGTGTGTGTGTGTGTGCGCGCGCGCGCGTGTGTGTGAGTGTGTGTGTTGTTTGTGTGTGTGTGTGTGTAGGTGTAGGTGCGCGCGCGTACTGCTTGTGGCAGCAACAAAATTTCTGTGAGTTTGCTTGCTGCTCTTACACCACACCTCACTGCCACGCTCTTGCCCCCCCCCCGCCTTCTCCTCTTTTCACGGTTATCAGCGTGCGGAGATCTCCACAGTGAAGCCTGACCAGTACGCAAAGCGACTGCTTGAATTTGTGTCGTCCATGTTGGCGTGACAGCAGCACGCCCACCAGTGGTGTTGGTGGTGATGAATTGCTCCTTGCTTCATATCACAATGTGTTGTTCCCGTTCATGGTTTCTTTGTTGACTCGACGGTGGTGACGCAGGGGACGGGGAGAGGGAACAGAAAGTGTACTTTACATTGAGAATCACTGAAGAAGAAACGCCAATCAACAGCAACGGCAACGGCAGTGGCTCTGGCAGGGCAGCGAATGGCAGTCGCACACACACACACACACACACACACACACACACACACACACACACACACACACACACACACACACACACACACACGGTTGGACAGTGTGTCCGCGTCAGAAATGGAAGAGGACATGAAAATAAGGGAAAAATATCAGCAGCGCGCGTGGAACAAGCCTGGATGGCTGGTGTGTAATTTAACCCACTGCAATGGCATGGCAGAGAGCAGGCAGATGAAAAATGCAAGCAAGCGTGAGTATCCCGAGCGTACATGCGTGTGAGTGTGTGTGTGTGTGTGTGTGTGTGTGTGTGGTGGCGGTGGTGGTACAATTGCACTGCAGCCGCAACAATTCCTTCAGCCCCCCCCCGTCATCTTCACCATAAAACAAGCTCACTTTTGAGGGTGAGGAAGATTGCACACTCTGTGTTGTTGGTGGCGCGGGCCACGTCCGCCGCCGTCTTCAGGTCGTGATTCGGTGAATCGAGCGCAACCCCACTGCACATGCGCACAGGGAAACGTGGTGTGTGTGTGTGTGTGTGTGTGTGTGTGTGTGTGTGTGTGTGTGTGTGTGTGTGTGTGTGTGTGTGTGTGTGTGTGCGTGTGGGGCGCAATCGCTTTCCGGGCGTGTGAGCTGTGGCTGTCATTCTTGTTGGTTTGAAGCTCGCATGTTCACACCCGCCATCCACCCATACCTCGTGTCACCTCACTCCACACCCTGTCCACCCGCACCCTGCTATCTCTCACCAGTACATTGTTGAGTGCGACGGGGACACGCTGCTTGCGCGGTATCTTGGCATGTACCGCATCACCGTGCACGAGAAGGAGACGTACATGGTCGTGATGAACTCCATCCGGCCCGTTGGCATCCCCACACACCGCCTGTACGACCTCAAGGGGTCGAAGGTCGACAGAAAAGCCAGCGACAAGGAACGTGCAAAGGACCTACCGTGTCTCAAGGTACGAGAGGGAAGGTGAAGGTGTTGTGGTGGCTGGCGTGGCGGGTCAGGGTTAGAGTGGTTCATGCGCCAACATACACTTGAGTGAACGCCATCATCATCATCATCATCACGTGTGTGTGTATGTGTTTGTGTGTGTGCGCGCGTGTGTGTGTGCGTGTTTGTGTTGATGTGTGTGCTTGTGCTGGTGTGTGAGAGTGTGGCTATGTGATTGTGTGTATGTGTGTGAGCGTCATAAGTCCCAACGTTCTTGAAAGTCGCTGGCGCCTACTCACCCTTCACCCCGCTGCGTTCGCGATGGCCGCACATCAAAAGGACATTGACTTTGAGGAAGCGCAGGAGCGGCTGTATCTTGGCGGCGACACCGAAACATTCAAGGAAACACTCAAGCGCGATGTGCAGTTCCTTGAGAAGCACAATCTCATGGACTACAGTCTGCTCGTGGCCATCCACGACTGCAACGAGCAGGTCGCTTGTCCTTGCGTACATGCGCGTTGAGTGTGTGTGTGGATGTGGATGTGGATGTGTGAGAGAGAGGATGAATGTGTGCGTGTGCGAGTGCGTGTGTGAGTGTGTGTGCGAGTGTGTGAGAGAGTGTGTGTGTTTGTACGCCATGCTGCGTTTCTGTATCCTCACTCATCCTCTCCGTGTCCTGCGGTGTGCTGCTCCGCCACCACCCGAAACATGCAGACGCCTGGCGAGATTGACCGGGATGTCGATGTGTATCACGTTGGTCCACACGCCAAAGACCTGAAGGCGGACCCGAAGCGCCTCTACTTTATCGGCATCATCGATGTGCTCACCGTCTACAGCACCCGCAAACGCGCAGCGCACGCGGCGAAAACAGCGAAACACGGAGCGGTCAGTCGTGTGTGTGTGTGTGTGCGCGCGCGCGCGTGTGTGTGAGTGTGTGTGTTGTTTGTGTGTGTGTGTGTGTAGGTGTAGGTGCGCGCGCGTACTGCTTGTGGCAGCAACAAAATTTCTGTGAGTTTGCTTGCTGCTCTTACACCACACCTCACTGCCACGCTCTTGCCCCCCCCCCGCCTTCTCCTCTTTTCACGGTTATCAGCGTGCGGAGATCTCCACAGTGAAGCCTGACCAGTACGCAAAGCGACTGCTTGAATTTGTGTCGTCCATGTTGGCGTGACAGCAGCACGCCCACCAGTGGTGTTGGTGGTGATGAATTGCTCCTTGCTTCATATCACAATGTGTTGTTCCCGTTCATGGTTTCTTTGTTGACTCGACGGTGGTGACGCAGGGGACGGGGAGAGGGAACAGAAAGTGTACTTTACATTGAGAATCACTGAAGAAGAAACGCCAATCAACAGCAACGGCAACGGCAGTGGCTCTGGCAGGGCAGCGAATGGCAGTCGCACACACACACACACACACACACACACACACACACACACACACACACACACACACACACACACACACACACACACGGTTGGACAGTGTGTCCGCGTCAGAAATGGAAGAGGACATGAAAAT